TTAAGATTTATTTTGTTTTCTTTTTGGAGAAAGCAGAAGAAAGTAAAGCTTTTTGTTCTTTGTGTGAAATTAAATTTTTCATATCGTTTTCAAAGTTTTATTAGAATTTTCATTTTGTTTATAACATAAAAAATCTACAAAAAGCATATGCATGGTTTTCTCTAACGTTTAATTTTTCAATTTTGTTTAATTTTTTGATGTTTCTGTGGTATTTGATTTGTATATATTTTAAAAAGAACGGTGGTTAGCAAATGAAAAAAACACTAACATTCCTGTACTTTCCACATGTGCAATAAAAGGTTCTTTTTCAACTGTTGTATAACGATAAAAACTTTAAAAAATTGATAACAAACACTCAAATGTTTAAAAATTTGATAATAAACACACAGATATTGAAAAAATGAGTCACCTGATTTGACGCAACATTTTTTGCTGAAACAATTAAAAATTTTATAGTTAGATAAAAAAAAGATTTCGAAAACATTTTTATCATTTAAAAATTTTTAATAATGCTTTTAAGATCGTTCTTCAGATGTGGTTTATTTTAATTTACATACAGATCATCATTAAAAGGCACATTTGCCATATTCACAATGTTAGTTAGTTATTTTTTAAATTCTATCTAACCAACAATCAAGGTGAAAATATAACTTATATATACAAAATATATCTGATCTTTCCTATCCGGTTAAAGCCGGTTACCTTTTTGTGTTTTATTCTTCCATTTTTTTACTTTCTAAGTTCTTTTCTAATTAGAACATTACCAAACCCCTTCAACCTTGGCCGTCTGAAAATATCAACGAAAAGCCCAACCCTAAGATATTTTTATAAATGTTGTCACAAAATTTATATTTAGAGCCAATGACGCAAATGATAATGCTGCCGTTTTGTTTTTACAAAACATACACTTTCGGATGATTGCTTTATCAGAAACTTTCAGGCAGGTTTCTATTCTGATACCTATCCACGCCATCTTAGTTTTCCGTTCCGTTAAATATTATGAAAGTCACAATTAATATTTTTTATAGCTTTCTAACAAATTTTTAAAATTTATTGCATAAAACTTACCAATAAATCCAGAAGCAAAAACAGCAGAAAAACAAGCAAGCCAACAACAATAATCCCATTATTAATCCAATAGCTATAGCAACTGGATTCCAATTAAATCCTTCCCATCGAGTATTAGCTCCCTGTTAATTTATACCGTAAAGTTATTTAATGTTTATAGATATATTTATGTGTATAAATTATTTCTAAATGTATAAAGTTGAATTAAACAAAATTAATATATTTTTTTCACAGTTATTCCGATGACATTGGCGTCTTTTCTAGCATCTACGGTATTAAATTTTTTATCAAGTTCCAATGGAGTCACAGGCCGATTTGATACTGCGTCAATAACGTATAAATATACATCGGTCCTAAAATTAAAAATATCAAAATGAATCATGCGTCTCCAATTGAATCTGTTTATAAGTATGAGATTATTCTTCAAAAACTTATTTAATTTACCATTTATCGTTGAATCCTCCAGTAAGTAGTATATGTGGGTCTGTACTGGCTAAACATACATACCCATTATTTGTGAAATTTCTCAATTGACTGAAATTTAAAAAAATGTCAAATAAATTTTTTTATAACATATATCAAAGTAACAAACAAGACTTTTAATGGATATTTTTTATAACTTTTTGATAATTACTTTCAAAACAGAAATTTTAAAATTGAGTTTTATTTTATTTGATATTTAAATAAAACGAACATCTATTTTTTTATCTAAACCGAATTGGCGCTTTTAAATTTAGTAACCCAAATCAACCATTCCAAAAAATGATTAATTCAAATTTTATTCTGTGATGGCCAAGTTGTTAAAGTCACATGCTGCTGTGACCGAGTTCGAATGAGACAAAAAAATCCCTGCCTATCACATACTTCGAGCGTGATCCGTCTTTTAGTACGCATTCATATACGCTGTTTGTGTGTTGTTGATTTCTCAGAACCAACCTAAAAAACGGGTAATAGACCTTAAACACTTTTTTGAAATTCACTTGGTTTCAAATGGTCAAACCTTTTCAAATTTTTACAAAAAGACCACGATCACCTCAAATCTACAACGCAAACCACAGATATATTATCTATACGTTAAAGATATATTATCTGACATATTTGTGGCTCCGATATAGTATATGCCTCCCTCTTTTCGTCAAGTTTTGCCGCAAAGAAACAGTTAAAACTACTGCAAACACTTACAAACAAACTAATAGATCCAATTGCAATATTTGTCAGCCCTTACCCAAACAACACAAATTCTTAGCATTTTTAATTTAAATATACTGTTATAACCGATCCCTTGAACTTGTAAGGTATGGTTATTTCTCTCTACGTGGATTCTTGACTCTTAAACAGACTTATTTCAGATGAACTCTATCAGAAAAAAAACAGTGCTGGCATTCACTTGTGTGTATCTCTGTGATCAATCCATCGTTTATGTCGTTAGAATACAGCACAATAACTAATTGACGGGTAAATTACGGAATACAACCAATCGTCAATAATTAAGCTTCTCTCATCGGACTAATTGTATTGCGTTCTCCTAGCTCTGGCGTCCTTTACTGCAGTGAGTTTCCAGCTATCAAAATCTTACCTCTGTCACCAGTGTGTTATCTCCTGAAGATCCCATTTCTAACACCAGTGTTGTAACCTCTTCGACCTCGTAACTACCAACACCGATGTTATAGCTTCAATACTCGCTATATCTTCAACACCGTGTTGTAGCTTCCAACGATAGTCAAGAGTTCGTTTATCCGTAGGTTCAAGATTTCCAATAGATGAATGCAACTACTTTTAAACGCAAACTAAGTTGAACGTTTATTTAAAACCAGCAGTAATAGAAACAATAAATTAATCCAAATAACTACGTAAATCACATTTACAAATTCAACGTCAACAGTTGTTCCGTCTTCTTCTTACCTGTTCTCCTCTCTCTTGTGTATCTGTCCTCTCCGTTTTTTCTCTTCTTGGCGTTGTTTATGTATCTACCGATCTGCTAGTAAATGTGTCACATGCCGTGTCATGTGACTTTTACAACTGTTTTAATTATTTACGCCTTCTAATTAAATTTACAAGGACTTCACGCAATTTCTAACTACAAATTTTTATCTCGGCTTCACGTCTGTAACAATACGTAAAAAAGTTGATTCAAAATATTCTACATACCTTATTAGCACATTTTTGTAATTTTTCGTTTCAAATTCTTGAATCTTTTTATTCAAAGTAATTAAAGTTAAATCTGTAGTTTGGTTGACAATGTAGCCCTGGAAATTTGTTTTCAAATATAGTTTTTTAATTTTGTGAAAGCAATCAATAAAATTGACAAAAAAAACCATTAAGGTCAACAGAGTTTCGCTCTCAGGATTTTGCTTATAATATGATTTGACATTCAACTGGGTGAAACCTAAAGATATTGAATAAATGTAGTTTACTATAAATGTAACATGAATTCCCATTGAGGTAGTTAATAATGTCATTAATAATGAGTTGTATCAACCAATCAATCAGTCAGTCAGTCGGTCGGTCGGTTGGCCGGCCGATCGATCGATCGATCAATCAATCAACCAATCAATCAATCAATCAATCAATCAATCAATCAATCAATCAATCAATCAATCAATCAATCAACCAACCAACCAATCAATCAATCAATCAATCAATCAATCAATCAATCAATCAATCAATCAATCAATCAATCAATCAACCAACCAACCAACCATCCAACCAACCAACCAACCAACCAATCAATCAATCAATCAATCAATCAATCAATTAGCTTATAAAGCGCTATTTCCGCGATGTTTAACAGCGCTTCTCAATAAATTTTGAAAACAGATGGGTCTTGAGATCCGCTCTGAATTTTGTAAGTGGAGGAAAAGTAGTCAAAGAAGTAGGTAGAAAATTCCAGAGGAAAGGACCAGAAAATGCAAAAACAGATTTAGCAAAAGAGTGTTTAATGCGAGTTAAGAAGAAGTGAGAACAAAAAAACGATCGTAAACCGGGTTTATGTTCAATTAATATATCTGATTAGTTCTTAAGTACAAGATAAGGAGATATATAAGAAAAGAAAGCGGCACGAGCAACTAGACGAGCAGCAGAGTTAAAAGCTTTACTTATAGGATAAAGTGTAGAATCAGGAAGACCATAGTAGAGCGAATCAAAATAATCAATCTTAGATAAAACTAAAGAAGTAACAAGAAAGAAAAGAGTAGGACCATGACGAGAAGGCAACAATTTTTATATTCTACGTAGATGAAAGTAAGAACTTCTAGCTATTAATCTGAAAAAAAGAGAGTTCATTGAACTTTTTGACGTCGCTGAGTTTCTCATAACTTTACATATAAAATATGCTGCTCTATCGTGGTCAGGCTTTGCCACCCAGCAACAACTACATCAACTACAATCACTCATCAATTTAATTAGAATAAATTATTTACCTTCATCGTGCCCACCCATCACACATTAAAAGACGCTCGTTTTATAAGAAAATTGAAGCCAACTGCAATCGTAACCCATTACTACCACCAATCAAAATTACTTCATACAACTAACGTCAAGGCAAACACAACTACGCAATCGCCGCACGCCCAACCTACCAAGATAACACATCCAATCATATACATCTCAGGTCTATTAGCAATCAGTCGACCAATCAGTCGCTTAATTTATATAAATTACATTTAAAACACTGTTTTTGTCAATGTGGCTACTTAATTCTTTAGCTCCAATTCTACGCCAAGCATTTTAAAATTTATAATTATTATATTTTATTTATTTTACTTATTTCTTTCATTCAAGACATTAATTTTATACTTTTAATATTTTATTACCTAATTTGATCACATTATATTACAATTACTAAGTAACATTCGACTAACTGCCTTACACTCGTCATTCTCTAAGTCACTATTATCTAGTCTATTTATATTTTTCATAGACTTTTTCAAGCAATTAGTTGTTATTTTTTATTATAACCATTATTGTAATAAAACACTTAACATGCGTGTCGCATACTTGTGCCCAAATATTTTGTGGGTTTGCACAATTTATTTCGGGTATATATTTGTCGGCGTATTTGTATGAATGTTTTTTTGAACATGTTCGTAGCACGGACGAAAAAAATAACATTGTTGTTTTTGAATATGCTCCATTTTTAAAACTTGCATGAATAAAAATTACAGAAATATTTCTTGTTATATACTTATTTAATTTACTTTATTTCTACTTAATGTAACTATTTTTTTTATAATCGGAATTCTAATTTTCCTTGTTAAATATCAGGCAGGTATGACGCTACCATGATGTTTCAGTAACTACACAACATGCAGTCTTATGCAGTCCTTCGTTTATACAGATTCACTTTGTAAATGCTGGTAGAAATTAATTCTTAGCCGAATACTCAATTTTTACGTATTATTTATTAAAAAAAATAAAATTAAACAAGATAAAAAATCAATTTAAAGAGCATTGCTTAGTTGATGTGCATGAATTGTATAACAATTTTTATTATTTCTCCGGTGGCTAATCGCATTTGCAAATATGGGTAAAAAATATATTTTACCAATAATGTTGGCTGGATTAGTTGATAGAACCAAGTCTCCATTTTCCATTATTTTGAGATTTCTGTTATTTTGAGCTGGATTTGTGTCATCAGCCTTGAACATTATATCGTCTTTTTTATTTTGATCAGTTGCGTATTTTCGGAGATTGTCAATCGTAGAACCTTTCTCGGCCGTTGTGGGAATGCCTAAAATCAAAATTTGAAATAGTAAATTTCACGGATGATACATATCAGCAAATTAAATGATTGGAAAAAGTTTTTCCACTAACAAATTGGTAAAGTATTAGAAGTGAACTGAACTGGAGGAGGAGAATTTAAAGTAAAAGTCACACTTATTTTGGACTGATCCGAATTATTTAATGCACACAAAAATTCCTGTTGACCATTTTGAAGTACAACATTCATATATTGGGCTTTCACTACAAACCCATAAGTTTTCCTAGTTATCGAAGCGATGTTGTTGTCAATTATTATCAATTCTCCCGTTGTTTTGTTAAGTTGGAAAACCTTGTCTATTAAAAACAGAAATAAATGAATGAAAATATGAATATATATATTATAAAAGACAAAAAACATTTAAACACACACACACACACCACACTAACACACACAACACACACACACGCCACACTAACACACACAACACACACACAAATATATATATATTTATATGCTGGAAGATCATATTTTATACAGTATTGTAAAAATTCTATCGAGTTGTTGCCATTAATAAATTTAATTTTGTTTTTTCAAATTATTGGAAATAGAATTATTATCCAAGTTTATCATGAAAATTTAATAAAACCGTTGTTATCCAAATTCATCATGCATCAGAATTTGGATAACAACAGTTTTATTAAATTACACATTGGACGGCAAGATGGTTTAATAATTGAGGCACCTGGTTCTGCGCTGCAATGACTGTGTTCAAATGCACATAGTTCAAAATCCGTTATTCGTTACTCGCATTTTGTGTGATATGTTGATTCAAGAGTGCCTATTTACTTGCGCTGTGTGTGCGTAGGTGCCACTTTTAAAAACCAGTTTCAACAAAACAATAGTATTAGTATGCAGCTTTGACATTGAAAACGATTTTTGTAACAAGTTACGCCTGCGTAAGCTTTTCAAGTCAAATTTGATTAAAAATAAAATAACTTGTTTTGTCATCGGATGAATCCAAGTAATAGTTTATAGCTGCATCTTTGTGATTGGGTTTGGCTTTGAAAGTGTAAATCACCTGATTTTTACTGTCATTTGAAACGACAAATGTTTCATTGAGCTTCACTGTGCAATTGTTCTGTAACATAAATTAAAAATTTACACGTTATTAATAGCATAATTTTCAAAGTTTATTTAAAAACTTTCATGCGTCTTAACCAATATTTTTCACTCAATTTACCGAATCAAAAGCGAACTGGGGATTTCTTGTGTAGAATGGCGTGACGAACACGTTGAGATATCTTGTCACTTGACTGTTGGCTACTTTTGCATCACGCACAGCTATATTCAACTTTATTATAATGTATGTAAATATAGAATAAGACATTATAAGTTTCAGCTATGTTGAAATATTTTTAGTAAATATTACTCGATATGAATTTTGAGTGTCATAATCCAAAGCTCCGTTCAAATTAACAGTCGCGTTATTGTTTTGCGAAATAATTATAAAAGGACCGGTGGTATTCAATTCTTGGTTCATTTCATTGATGAATGAATAAATTAAAGGACCTGATCCTGGAGCGTACGGACTTGCTCTCAAATCATAAATGACCGACATTTTAGGTAATGTCTACATGAAAAAAAAAACAATAAATTTTTTTGAATAAATTTGATTGGAACAAACTCAAACTGACTAAAAAATAACAAAAATAAAGTTGAAATAGGTGAAATAAAACATTTAGTAACCTCCAATACATTTACTGAATCATAAAGACTATTTGGCTTGATCCATGTTGGACTGCACTGTTCTCTACAAGATAGCGAAACAATTATTTTAACTGTTGAACTCGACGATAAACGCACTGGTGAACCGTTGTCCGTTGCATTGACTACCATCGTAAAGCTATCCGACTTCGATTTAAGTGACCGGACAAGCGTTATTAAACCGCTGTTTGAATTGATTGAAAAATATCCTGAAACAAATAAAATGTTATTAAACACATTACGTTTTAATTTAATGATCCTGATTCTTCACAAATCAAATCACAAAGTAAAAAGATTGACTAGTACTTGCGAAAAAAGTTATATAAATGACGTGATGTCAAACTGCTACGTGTGACGAATGAAAAACGGTTAATATTCAAACAATTTGTTGGCCGTTGAAAAAATATGGGAAAAAAATAAATAGCAATGAGCGGGAATTGGTATTTATATCCCTGATTCCCATTTATAATAATTTATAGTTCTATGTTAAACTAATTCATTTAAGTTTAAGCTTAGTTTTAGTTTTATTAAAAAAAAGTTTAGATCTAATCACTGCCTATTTTGAGCCTCATTCTCACGTTTTCCATTTTTTATATTTTTATTCCTTCCTTTTCACATTTTCGAAATAAAAAAAATAGAAATACCAATGCTTTGAAAATTATTAAAACAAAACTGTAATTCAATAGAAACATAAAATTCGTTTTTCAATATTGTATACAAATAAAATGACAAGTTCCTTTTTTTAATAAAAGTTTTTCTAACAAAAAAAAGATCAACAGTTTACTGTTAAATGTGTATTACTTGACATCTCAAAATAAACTTTATTTAATAATTTCTATGATCACATCATGGACTCACAAATAATGAAATTTAAACTAAAATTTATCACAGTTTAAATTTTTTTAAAATGGGAAGATATAAAAACATCTGGCTTATGTAAAGAAACATTCTTTACAATACAACAAACCTTTGAAGCATTAGTCTTAGATGCTCAAAATATTTATTAGAAAACAAAAATCTCATTTATGTGTTACTGGAAAACTTCAATTGGAATCATTAGAATTTAGATTCGTCTCAGACCAGTTGTATATCAATCACATTTCGATACAACAAGTAATTATCAGCCACAAATAATTATGTGCAAGCCCTTATTTAAACATAATGATTCTAATTTTAATGAAGTGAAGCAGCTTTTTTAACTGCAAGAAAATCAAATTAATCCAAAATTGCAGATGACATTGCAGCAAAATTTCAATACGTTTATGAGCTAATTAAAATGTAAATCGTATTGGTCTCCAACCTTCCTTGTTTCCATCCACAATAGTGTACGTGATTCGACCATTTTCACCAAGATCGCCATCAGTAGCTAATACTTGCAAAACTGACGATTGTACTGGCAAGTCGTCGTTTATAGAAGACTGGTACGTATATTGTGTAAATTGGGGAGGATGGTTGTTAACGTCCACCACTGTTACAAACACCTGTTCACAGTTAATTTTGATTATGAAGTTGATATTTTTAGATCTAATATTTTCTTAGAGGTTAAGGCCTTAATTACTAAAATATTATTTAAATTCAAAGTTCAATCGAAAATATTAGAAAAACATTTACGGCATGTACGGTCCATATTTTAATATTTTTAAAAAGTTTCGGTTTCGGGATATGGCTTCGATCGAAATCAAAATTCCAGTTCCGGCTGGACACTAATAAAAATAGCTGTCGTTAACCTTTAGCTACATTATATCATAATTTACAAGTAAAAATATTAACCTTAATATTTTTTTTTATTTATTAAAATTCACTTCTAAACATATCCCGGAAAATAATTCAATTAACCATATTATTCACTTACGAAAAAGATTTGTCTGAAACAGTACAAAATATATCACAAATGATACAACTAGTCAATGTTCTGGGCATGACATAAAACTGCATCCACGCTGCCTTGCGTGCTTTTGAGTGAAAGACTAGGCCTACTGCTTATAACTGGTGGTTGTCCTCAGAATGGGTGTCCGGATGTAAAAAAATTTTCCCAAAATTATTCTATGCCATCACAAACAAAAACAACGGCCCCTAGTTCCAAGCAAGCCTTAAGTGGTCAAGGGGTGCTAAAAATCCCAGGAAGTATGCAATAGCGGAGGGATGTTGCAGAAAAATTCAGAATGGCCCCTCTATGGTACTTAGACTTGGAACGCTCAATGTTGGATCACTGACTGGCCGCAGCATGAAAATCACAGAAAGGCTCGAGCATAGAAGGATTGGCATCTGCTGTCTTCAGGAGACCCGATGGAAATCGAATGGTGTCTGTCATCAACTCAGACAAAGAAAAATATAAACTATTCTGGAGTGGTCAAAAGACGGCCAAAAATAGTGTTGAAATTTTTGTCAAAGAACCGCTAGCCCAAGAAGTACTGGATGTTAAAAGGATTAACTCACGTCTCCTGTGGATCAAGCTTTGCCTAGAAAAGCTAACAATGACTATTTTTTCTGCATACGCACCACAGACAGGCAAATCAGAAGAGGTGAAAAATGACTTCTGGTCTGGGTTCTCTGACACCATCTCAACAATACAAAAATCTTAAACAATCTTGATTGAAGGCGATCTCAATGGCTACGTTGGAAAGAAAACCGATGGTTTTGACAACGTGCATTGCGGTTTTGGCTATGGAGAACGGAATAAAGATGGCAACCGCATACTTGAGTTTGCTGAAAGTCACGGGTTTTGTTTACTGAACACATATTTTAGAAATAGGTTGGAGCATCTCATAACATACAAAAATGGACCATCAGCCACGCAAATTGATTTCTTCGCTGTTAAGCAACAACACCGACGGCTATTCAAAAATGTCAAAGTTATACCTGGCGAATCATGTGTCGCCCAACATAGACTCCTTGTGGCAGACCTGGTTGTCAAACTGTCACAACATAAGTTCAAACAAATGTCTCGGGGAATCAAAACGTGGAAGCTGAAAAGCAATATTCATCGAGAAAAATGTCAACAGATTGTCGCCACACAGTTAGACCACCAATCGCAAGCCAGTACAGATTGGAGTACATACAAAACCGTTTTGATAAACGCTGCAACTACAATTTGTGGGAAAACTGGTACAAAACGCCAGCATGAACAGGACACTTGGTGATGGAATGACAGTGTACAAAATGCAATAGCTGAAAAGAAAGCTGTATACAAGCAATGGCAAAAATCAAAGTCTATTGATGACCATAAAATTTTTCGTGAAAAGAACGGCGGCGTGATGGCTCAATGGTTAAAGGCGCCTGGTCTTCCTATTGCAATGACTGGGTTTGAATACAAAGAGATTCCCGCTTATCATATGCAATGTGTATGCTACGTGGTTTGCACGCGTATTCATGTACGCTGTGTGTGTTTGTCGTTGAAACCTCTGATGCAAACGCAAAAGAGAGAGAAAAACCTTTAACCTTTTAACTATGCAAAACGTCAAGTCGCACTGGCTCAGACAGATCAGTGCAGAGAGTGGCTCACTAGAAGCAAAGGTGAACAAATGAAATCTCTGTATCCTGTAGCAAAACAAGCGAAACGTACGAAAAAAGTCATAGTTGATGCCTCATGTATCAAAAACGACAAAATGAGATGGTTCTTGAACAAGATGAGATCAAGCTACAGTGGAAAGATCACTTCAACCGTCTGGTAAATGAAACAAATCCCATCAATGTCAACTTTGACGATCCACCCATCAAAGGTCTAATTCCAGACATCACTGTAGAGGAGCTTAAAGAAGCTCTGAAATCTATAAAGGATGGAAAGGCAGCAGGGCTTTCTGGAATCACAAATGACATTATCAAAGCATCTCGTACTGCAGGTATCCAAACGTTACTACAACTTTGCCGTGAAGTCTGGAGAAATTGCTCAATGTCGACTGAATAAAACTATAGCATGACGGTTCAGCTATACAAAGGGGATCCATTGAACTGTTCATAATATCGGGGTATACGTCTGTTAGAACACTACCTAAAATTGTCGAGAAAATCATTGAGAAAAGATTAACGTCGTGCATCACAATCGGAAATTAACAATTTGGTTTCCTAGCGGGGAAATCAACAATTAATGCAATTCACATTTTTCGGCAACCGCAAGAAAAGTACCTCGCAAACCATCAACAACTATCACACTTTTTTGTAAACTTTGAAAAAGCATTTGATCGAGTTTCCCGTAAAGCAATCAGGTGGAATCTACGTGGCCCTGTTCAGTTTGAAAAGCTGGTGTAGTTAAAAATTCAATCAAGTGTCAGCATGTAACCAGTGGTATCACAAACTTTGTTCAAAAATAATTGGTACTCTATCTAAAGTGTTCAATTTTGTTTGTTCTGTCTGCATCAATTCCCAACAACAAATTCGAAATAGCAATGTTTTTAAAGCCATCAAGGTAGAGAAAGTCACATCGTGCCATTATCTAGAGGATGTTCTGAATTGTATTAGAACAGCTGAAGCTGCCGTTTGAGCACGCATACGTGCAGCCTGGAAGAAATGGCATCTCCTTGCCTCTATATTGATGCGGCGTGACATTCCACTACCACTACGATCAAGACTTTATAAATCTGTGATACGTCCGGTGTTGTTATATGGTGCAGAAACATGGCCAATGACAACCAAACTGGAACAACAACTTTACAGAACCGATATAAAATTGCTCCGATGGATGCAACGAATTAGCCTGAAGGACCATATCAAATCTACCAAAATCCTGCGTCGTGATGGTTTAGATGATATAAAGGACGAATGCCGGCAACACCGTCTGCGGTGGTTTGGTCATGTCAAACGAAGTGGAAACTGTGCCATAACTTCTCTTACAGATGTTGAAGTACCCGGCACCCGTCCCAAATGCCGTCCCAATATGTTCTGGTCTCAAACAATCGAGCAAGACATGAAAGCTCTAAATTTAAATGAAATGGATACAACTGATCGTCTAATTTGGCGCAAAAAATTGATGGCAAGAAAAACAACGCCCTACCTCGGAAGAACTGGGTCTTTGAACGCTAAACCATGATTGATTGATTGATTGATATAACCAGTCAGACAAACCCATACAAAACCTGTGTAATTCAAAAGACAAAAGACCACCAACAAAACGAGCTGGTCACAAAGAGTACCTACCCCTACCCTTTATAAAAGTAAATACAACACTATTTAACAATAACAAACTATAATAATTATTGCTACAATGAACTTTTAATCAAAAATAAGCTTAATTAAAAATATAGAATTTAAGATGACGACGACAAAAAGCATTAAAAACTTTAAAGTAAGAAGCTCATATGATAAAGAGTTCCATGCAGAATGTGTAGAACGAAAAAACTTTTATCTTCAAAAGACATTCTAGTTCTCTGTATTAATAACGTCAGTGAAAAACCTAAGAGACAGCTAATATGTTAGCTCATCCAAGCTACAAACAGATTCATAATAGACAGGACAAAAACCGTTAACAAATTGAAAAGATAACTCAGCAATTTAAAATTTAATTTGTTGCTTAACGGAAATGCATATTAGCACCAATATTTAAAAAAATTTTAAGCTTACGTACATAACAATTAGAATATTTAGATTTAAGAGAATTGTTCGGGCTATCAGTTGCCACAACTTCCAGTGTCAATTTTGGGTTTTTAACAGCATCAAACTGACCATCTCTTGCCACCGTTATAGTGCCCTTCAAAAAAAAAACAGTAAAGCTTAGTAATTTAAAATGAGCATTATTTGCTTTGGCATGATGCTAGTTATATTTTCATTAGCGATTTTGAAACATTATTATTAGTTGAAAACAAATACAACATTTATAAAATTTAGCAATCAAAAAGGTCTTTAAATTATTTAGTTATTTATTAAAGTTAAAGATAATTTAAACTGAGTCAACCATAATTTCAGAAAGATGCAAGAAAGTACAAAAAAAGCGTATTCAGAATGTAACACTTGGATTTTATTTAAAAAAAACTGCTTCTATTTTAAAATAATTTTTTAACATTGTTTATATCAAGATAAAAAATTTTAATTTCATTGTCTTGGTCAATATAAACTAAATAGCAAGAAATTATAAATTCGTCTTGCTTTCAATTTATTGCTGTGATAATATGTAGTTTGTTTAACACCTATCATTGGTAGGATAATCAATAACTATAAGGCGTTTGCATTCAAAATTGTAAAAATGTGCGTCGCCTGAAAGACCACCACGTCGGTTGCGTGCTTCGTCGTCGCTTGTTCAGACGTGAAAAATGATTGAGATGTTAATCAGCCGTTCAACAAAAATGGAAAAATTTTTTAAGAGAAACAATTTTACTTCACTCATTATTTCATTAAAATATATTTGGGGTAATACTGACCCTAACATATAACCGACTAAGTAAAAAGGTGTTCGCAGATTCATTCATCTTTTGAAGATGATTTTGCAGTGTTTGTAGAGTAAAAATTTTGGCTATTAATCCTTTACTCTCAACTTCTAATAAAACATGCACGTGTACAACGTTTGCAAACAGTTTTATTATTGTATTGTTATAATAATAATAACAATAAATTTCACTTATAAAGCACCAATGTAAGCGACATTTCAGCAAATGCGATTGCAAATATTTTAAATTTGTGACCTTGCTCGAAATGCACTTTACAAATGCCAAAAATCCTTTTTTTATAATGTTATAAAATTATTTCAAAACTAGATGACACATAATTAAGATTCTTCAAAAAAATATTCTCTGTAGAGGCTCGAACAATGAGCACGAACACCTAGGGCCAAAACTTTTACAATTACTTTTTGGTGTATCATTAAAACGTGGACATGAAATAAGGAGAACTTAGTAAAATTTTATTGGAAAATTTTTATTTAACTATAAGGTAATGTGTTTTTTGGAAGTTATATCGCCAAAATATAAAATATCTTGAAGTTGGGAGCCGGGGTCAGGATTAGGACAATTTCAAAGAAACACGCAAAATTAAATTATTCATTGAAATTTATAATGTTTAGTTGACATGGATGGATACTGAAATCAATCAAAATCGAACGTAATATTCTCGTGAATTAATTATCCAAACAATATTTCATTATGTAATTAAATTTGATAAAAAATCAACTATTAAAATAAAAAAATTGAATTCTTACGTCGTCAGGGTTTATCAAAAAATTTTTATCTGATGACGATTCAAGTCTATATTTAATTTTTCCAAAGTCACCTTGGTCGTTATCTGTTGCTGTGACTTGAATAACCATGGAACCAACAGGGGCATCTTCGCTTACGAGGGCAGTGTAAGTTTGCTTTAATAATATTTTTATTTTATATTCCAATTTTGTTATGAAACGCGCAAGTTTAAAAACAAACATTAGAAAAGACGGGAGAGTACATGTTGATGGGATCGACTATAACATTGATTGTGGCGGTAGATGTCAGTGGTGGCAATCCATTGTCAGTAGCCACAAGACGGAGTGTTAGTGTTCCAGAAGGTTCCATTATTGGTCTCGTTTGTTTTACAATACCTGGATGCAATAAATTTAAATTTTATTTTTGCCGTCATATAAGTTATTTAATTGGAATAAAAATTCCCGTGAAAATTGGATGGAAATTATTACATGCTTTCCCAAGATTAATCTTTTAAAAAAAATTTTCATCTAATCGTTAATTTATTGCACATGATCATTTAGTGTCAGTTTCAATGTCAGAATAAACACAATACATTGTTATTATTAATTTTAAAAAGTTGAAATTGAAACCAGGATATAATTATATTATATTATTTTATTATATAATTTTATTATATAATCATATCATATCATATCAAATCATATCATATCGTATCGTATCGTATCGTACCGTATCATATCATATCATATCATATCATATCATATCATATCATATCATATCATATCATATCATATTTGACGAAAAAAAATATTTTGCATTTTTTTTTAATTTAAACTTTTTTTAAAAGGCAGAAGTTTGCTTTTAACAGAAAAATGTATCCAGTCTAGCATTGCATTGACCGAATTCGACTGTAAAGATATCATATCATATCATATCATATCATATCATATATCATATCATATCATATCATATCATATCATATCATATCATATCATCATATCATCATATCATCATATCATCATATCATATCATATCATATCATATCATATCATATCATATCATATCATATCATATTATACTATGCTATATATATCCATCATATCATATCATATCATATCATAAAGAGACCGTGATGAAAAATGCACACAAATTGAAATTAATGTCGGTCGAACTGAGTAAAGTCTGGATTAGCAATGATCTGACACCTGAGCAGAGAAGTGAATTAAAGAAACTGGTAGCTGATTCAAAATCGAAAGAAGCGGCATGCAAAGACAATTTTTTCAGAGGTCCTGTGGGAAGATGGCGGATTGTGAAGTTCAGAAATTAACTGATGAGGGTGTTGTTGACTGGAGGGCCAGTCTGAGGATGATTCATGCTACAGCTCAAAAATTAACCATGAAAAATTACAATGATTTAAAAATTGGCCTGGGGCTCCTCAACATAAGATATATAATGTCAAAATATGAAATGGTGTGATATAATTCGTGGAGAATTGGATATTCTTGTATAAACAGTAACATGGCATGGGTCATCAGATGAGTTTGCTGTTCGATGCGCGATGCCCCCTGGTTATAAGTTTGTAGATTACGTCAGACCTCACCATCCATATCATGGCGGAATTATAATTTATTTCAAGAAAGAGTTCATTTATAAACCTGTTGAGTTACCCGCCGTGATAACTTTTGAAGCTGTTGCAATTAAATTGAGAGTAAACAAATCTGATTTTATTTTGTTATCAATTTATAGACCTGGATCGGTTCCTCCTTCACCATCGTTCTTTTCAGAGCTAGCGAATGTTTTAGAAGTTTTATCTCTGTTAAGTGATAAAATCGTTGTTGCGGGAGATTTTAATGTTCATATGGAGAGAAAAGATGATCCAAACACAGTCTCACTGAATGAGGTTTTCGATTGTTTTCAGTTGGTTAACAGGATTAACGAACCAACGCATGAATTAGGTGGTGTTTTGGACTTGATCATTACTTCTCGCTCTTTTCCTATCTTTAATAGTTTGATTTTTCCCAGTGGAGTGTTATCAGATCATAGATTAATCCAGGTTTGTTTGTCAATCAATCAAGTTATAGGTACGAGAAGTAAAAAAATGGTTCGATTCGGTGCGAGATAAATAAAGAAAATCTCGCATTGTTAATTTCGAAATCCCCGATTGGAGGGCCATGCCAAGATGATAATATAGAAACGCTGGTAGAGATTTTTGTGAATGAACTGAAGAGAATTGTGGACATAATAGCTCCAGAACACGTGGTTGAAAGTCGAGATGATTCGTTGACGCCGTGGTTTGATGGAGATTGTTCAAAGTCCAAGGCATACTGTAGAAAAATGAAAAGAAAGTACAGAAAGACTTTAAATCATCACGATAGGGAGGTGTGAAAAAATGCTCTGCGATCAAAAAATATTTTATTCGCCCAGAAAAAAAATTTGTTTTGGAAAAAAATCATTTTTGAAAATAACAAAAATCCTAAAAAAATTTGGACTGTGGTAAATAAACTGTTGTGCAAAGAAAAAACTTCAAATTCATCTACCAATTTTGAAGCAAACGATTTTGCTACATTCTTTTATGATAAAATTAAAAATGTACGAGAATCGATGGTGTATGATGAGAAGTTTAATCATTCATCTGGTGTCTGCTGCAGCAACTTGTTTTCAGTTTTTACTGTTTATGACGAAAGCGAAATTGTTGAAGCAGTTTTGAACTCTCCATCTAAAACATATTTACTGGATTGTGTTCCTTCACGCTTTTTCAAAAAATATGTAGGATTGTTTTCAAAATATTTGACTGATCTTATAAACTTACGTTTACGTACTGGTGAGTTTCCGGCTATGTTAAAGCATGCTACAATTTCTCCTCTTTTAAAAAAGGAAAAATTAGACAATTCTGATCTTAATAATTATAGACCGGTTTCAAATCTGTCGTTTTTGTCAAAATTAATTGAAAGATTAGTTTCTAAGGAGCTTATGAAACACTTAGATAAAAACAATTTGTTACCGGTATATCAGTCAGGCTATAGAAGACATCATTCTACCGAAACTGCTTTGTTGCATGTGTTATCTAAGTTGCATGAAAATATAAACAACAGTAAACCATCTCTTCTTGGATTCTTAGATATGAGTTCAGCATTTGACTGTGTTGACCATTGCATTCTTCTGAAACGTCTTAATCATAGATTTGGAATAACTGGCTCTGTCGAACAATGGTTTCGGTCGTACTTAACAAACAGAACTCAGCAGGTAATCTACAAGAATAAGACCTCTTCGGTTCAAACGATAAGATTTGGTGTTCCACAGGGCTCGGTTCTCGGACCGATCTTGTTTATTCTTTACACCTCTGAAATTATTGAGGCGATCGGATTACATGGTTTGGAGTGTCATGCATTTGCAGATGATATTCAGCTATTTGCCACAGAATCCTATAGCAACTTTCATCTTGCAGTTGATCGTTTTGTTAAATGTTTGGTCGAGATCGTGAAATGGATGGCAAATAATCGTCTTAAGCTCAATCAGAGTAAGACGCAAATTCTTCTGGTTGGAACTTGGCAACAGCTGTCTAGAATTAAAATTAATTCAGTTATCATTGAGGGCTCAAATATAAACTTCATTCCCAAAGCTACAAACTTGGGTGTCATTTTTGATTCTAGACTGGCAATGACTGAACATATCAAGTTTTTATCTGGTACTGCAACCCTACAACTGCGAAAATTAAAAATAATCCGCAAAAGCTTAACCAAAGATGTTATTCAAAGTTTAGTGCATTCGTTTATTCATTCTAGACTGGATTACTGCAACAGCCTATTTTATGGTTTGCCTGAAAAATCGTTATCTGTGCTTCAGTCAATTCAGAATCGGGCAGCTAAGATCGTGGTTGGTGCGAAAAAGTTTGACCATGTCACCCCGATATTCAGAGAACTGCACTGGTTGATGGTCAAAAAAAGAATTTTGTTCAAAATATCAACAATCATGTTCAAATGTATGAAGGGAATGGCGCCAGTTTATTTGAAAGAAATGCATGCACCGAAACAACTGTCTTTTAAAAATATCTGTTTAAGGTCTGATGATAGCAACTTGTTATGTGTGCCCCAAACCAACTTGAAAATGGCTGAGAGAAGTTTTTCAGTATGTGGACCAGCCGTTTGGAATAGTCTACCAAGTCATCTAAGACAGCCCGAACTGACAGAAAAATTGTTCAAGAAATTATTGAAATCAATTTTGTTTTCATTATAAGATTTTAAGATTTGGTTTATCGTAGCTATTCAACTGTTTTTTTAGACAGTGCTTTTGAGAAACATTTTGTTTGTAATTAGCGCTATACAAATTTTCGAATAATTTTTGAATAATAATATCATATCATATCATATCATATTATACTATACTATATATATCCATGGTTGAAACCTATTATAAATATCAGTTTATAAACGTTGATAAGTTCTCATCAACAACCAAATACTATTGAAAATTTTATTGGCATAAATTTAAGTATCTAAAACACAAATTTAAAGATCTCAAAATAAACAATTAATGAGAGACAACCAGAATATGGAGACTGTAGAGCGAAAATGCCGGTGCTATCGTCCAGTCGGTAGATGATGGATAAAGATGAATTCAAGGAAGACGCAGGAAAGTTACCTTAAAAAATAAATGCTCATGTAGATTTATTCTTACAAATTTAACATTATCAAAAACTTTGAATGAAAATTGGTTACAAACATCTGTCAGTCTTTTGCCTTATCTAGCAACTATTTTTAAATTCGTCGGGTGTAAATATGGTTGAATTTAAACGCAACCAATTTTTTTTAAAGTTAGCATATCGGAAGGTTAATCATTTAAAAAGTTTCAAACATGGGTGACGTGATGGTGTAACGGCAAGGTGCCTGGCAGGCTGGCACTGCTGTTGCAGTGACCGGATTCAATTGCAAAGAAATCCTCGCTTATCACATGCGTTCGTTCACGTGTATTCGCATGAACAAGGTGTGTTTGTTGTTAGTGCTTTTGAAAAATATTGAAGAGAGAATTGTAATAAATGAATAAATGATATAAATGAATGAACGAATGAACGAATGAATGAACGAATTGTAATAAATGAATAAATGATATAAATGAATGAACGAACGAATGAATGAATGAACGAACGAATGAATGAATGAATAAATAAATGAATATATATAACAAAAATCATAAGATAATTATTATCCATGTTAACATGATGTTAGCAATAATAATTCTCAGTGATAGGACATTGTTGACAAACATTTACTAAATTGTAAGCGCTAAATAAAATTTATAATTTCACATTCATAATTTTACTATTAACATTTTATTATGTAAAAATTTATGTGCTACCTTTCAAATGGGGAACC